GAGACGGCAAAGGCAGAGCTCCCTTCAATCTATCGGTTTGTGCGGACCCAAAGAAAGTTGGGGTGTCTGCGGTGTGTCGCTGTTACTGCCAGTCCTGAGGACGAAGTACCGTTCCGCCACTCTCACAACCCGGCATGTGGGCTGTATTTTGGCCTATAATCAGGTTTTGGCGCACTCCGGCGTGAAAGGTGCCTTGGACCACGCCAAGCAGTTGCTCGAAGTGCAAAGGCTTGGCCATTCTCTCACGCGATAGCCCAAATTGTGAGGCAGAGGGATGGGGAGCGGTGGTTGCGGGACCCCAACGACTGTTACTTCGTTTTGTTTTTGTTTTTCCGGCGACTCTAGTTGTTGTCGCAAATGTGTTTTAGGATTATTATTATTTTTTTCGCGTGTGTGGGCATTTGAGAAGCCTTAGAGAGGGGGAGGCTGTGTCCCTCGGATCAAGCCATGATCTCGTCGTGGTGCACATTCCTCTCGTGGGGAGAAGGGGCAAAGACCCCTCCCCCCAACAGGAGAGCCTCCTTCGGTTTCTTCTTCAGCACAGTTTCTGTGACCTTCCACCGCTTGGGGTGCAGTTCTGTCTCGAGTCTCAGTTGTCCTTTTTTTCATCCGTCCCGTATCTCTGCTCGGCTGCGCGCTAGTACGTGTGTGGGTGCCCTCACACGCTTTGCTCTGCTTCTTTGTGCTGCGTGTCTGCAGACACACACATGCACTAGCACGATGCATATATATATATATATATTGCAGAGCACTTGGGCGATGAGTTTTTTTTCGTAGTCGGTGCTGGTAGTGCTGCGTGTGGCTGTTGCATTCTTTCGTGATGAAACGAGAGAGTCGTACAACGAGAGTGTGAGTGTGCACCGTGGCTGCCTCTCTTTACTTGCGGGAGCGGCGCTGCATGTGGGACTGTTGAGCTGAATGGAGTTGCATCCTGCGCACGGAGTGGGGGGTGGTGTGGGTGCCGTGCTACTCGATGGTGGCGGGCTTACATCTCGTGTGTGTGTGTTTTTGTGTCTGCTTTTCAAGTGAAGTTGAGTCGATACATTTTGTTTTATTTTTGTTTTTGCCTCGATGAGGACGTTGCTGCGTAATCGCGCTTTTGTTTATGCTTTTTTGTTGTTAAACACCATGCGAAAGGCGTCTCTTGTCATTATTGTGGGTTTTGTGTCCGCCCGTACATTTGTCCTGAGGAGTGCGTCACGCTTTTCAGTGTGCTGTGGGGCAATTGGCACGGTTGGGGTTGGCCTCAGCGCAGAGCATAAAATTGAGTGGGTGCCAAGTGAGAGATCTTCTTCGCCGTGTTGAACTCGTGTGCTACCTTTTTTTCTGGAGGTTCAAAGAACCACTCTTTTTTTCATGTATGTGAATTTCTTTTTTCTTCGTAGTTGTTAGCCATGGGAAGCAGCCTATCGTCGTGCTCAAGTCGGTTGATTGAGTTCCTCTTGTATATTGGTGTGTTGGCCCACAACGTGAAACACCCTACCAGCGTCGTGGTGGGGGGAATCGAATACAGCGTGAAGCAGCTGCTAGGGGAGGGAGGTAGCGCCTACGTTTACAGGGGCTGGGATGTGCACTCAGGAAATGTGGTGGCGCTTAAGCGGTTCACGCTGACTGATCACAAGTACCAGACCCAATGCATGGAGGAGGCAGCCTTGCACCGCTCTCTCTGCCCGCACCCCTCAATTGTCAATTTTTACGATTTTGGCATTGTTGAACGGTCCGGGTGCCCTCTGCCAGAGCTTTGGATTGTTATGGAGTGCGTGGAGGCTCCCTCGTTGACGAACTACATCAATATGCGCATGACCCTTAAACAACCGTTTACTGTTCATGAGGTCTACGAAATTTGTCACACCATTGTGGGCGTTATAGCCCACCTACATAGTCAGTCTCCACCAGTCTCTCACTGGGACCTCAAGACGGAGAATTTTTTATTTGAACACTCTCAAAATATGAAGCTGTGCGACTTTGGAAGTGCCTCGCGTCTGTACTATGAACCGAAGAACGCCTTGCAGGTGTCGATTGCAGAGACCGAGTTGGGTGAGAGAATGACGCTGCTCTACCGCCCACCGGAGTCGCTGGATTTGTGGTCGAGGCGGCGGGTCGACACGAAGGCTGACATTTGGAGCCTTGGTGTTTTGATGTACTTACTGGTGTTTTTTGAAATGCCGTTTGAAGGCAATGTGCTGGAAGTTATGGATGGCACCCCGCGACGGTTTTGCGAGGGCAAGTGTGAGACAATCCCTGAAGGGTTTGATCACTTCATCGAGCTGCTGGTGACGAGGGTGTTGGTGAAGGATCCTTCAGTGCGTGCGGACATCTTTGAGGTTTCTGAGCGCTTGAGTGCCCTGTCGCATATGCCACCCTTCCCTCGTCCTAATCCGGACTTTCAGAGTCCCCAAAAGCCAAGGTTTGAGTAGGTGACGCCACTATGCTTTTCATTTTTCTAAAAAAAACTCTTTGAAAGCCCTTTGAATGAGTTTACCAGTCTTGTTGCTGTTGTTGTTTCTGCCTTAAACACTCGAAGCAATGTGATGCATGCATGCGGATAGATGTGATTGTTTTTTTTTTCTGTGTATTAGTGTTTGGAGAGGGAACGAGGCTTTCCTTACTCTTTTTGTTTTTGTTTTTCTACCACCCTCCTTTTAGCTTTGTGGAATTTCTGGAGGAACAAGCCGTAGTTGTGCGCTGGGGGACATGAGCCGCCTCTTTTAATCCAACAACAACCACAACAGTAATACCAACAGTTTGGGGTCCTGCCGAGGATGTGGATGTGAAGGGCCGCCGAAGGGCAGAACAGCACAGCGTGTCTCGTGAATGGATGCTGAGGGATCACCCTGAAAACCTCTGTGAATATGTGGTGGAAGCTGCCAAGAAGGTCGCTTCGGACCTGAAGGAGAAGTCCTGTGAACGCATCCCCGATGCCGTATCACCGGCGTTGAACAGTCGGGCCCTCACCATTGTTGTTCTTGGGGCAAGTGGGGACCTGGCCAAAAAGAAGACCTTTCCAGCGCTTTTTCTGTTGTACTGCAGTGGTGTGCTGCCTCAGCACGTCAATATTCTCGGCTATGCTCGTTCCAAGTTTGAAGATGTGGAGGAGTGGAAAAGGAAACTGCTTGCAAGTTGCTTTTTGCAGTCAGAGGAATATGGATGTCACGCGGATGCCTTTTTGAAGCGAATCAGTTACATGTCTGGCTCCTACGACCGCGCTGAAGACTTTGCGCGTCTGAATGAAAGGATTTGTCGGATGGAGCAGTCCTTCAAGGGATCGGAGCAGGGAGGAAACTGTCTCTTCTACCTTGCTTTGCCACCCTCCGTTTTTGTAGAGGCGTGCAAGGGTCTT